AGACCCTGGAGTCTAAAGGTTTCGAGTTGAGCAGGACCAAAACAAAATACTTGGAATGTAAGTTCAGTGGTGCAACTCAGGGAGTGGAAGAGGAGGTGAGGGCGTGAGGCTGGATTCACAAGTCATCCCTAGGAGAGGTAGCTTTAAGTACCTTGGGTCTATTAAGGGAGATTGACGAAGATGTCATGCATCGTATTGGGGTGGGATGGATTAAATGGAGATTTGCTTCCGGAATACTGTGTGACAAGAAAGTGCCACCAAAACTTAAAGGTATGTGTTATAGAGCGATAGTCAGACCGACTATGTTGTATAAGGCTGAGTTTTGCCCGGTCAAGAGCTCCCATATCCCGGAGATGAAGGTAGCAGAGATGAGAATGTTGAAATGGATGTGCGGGCATACCAGGCTAGAAGGATTAGGAATGATGTTATTAGGGACAAGGTGAGTCTGGTCCCTATTGATGACAAGATGCGAGAAGCGAGGCTTAGATGGTTTGGAAATGCGAGAAGGAAAAGCACAGACGCCCCGGTAAGGAGATGTGAGGGGTTGACATTGGAGGGCCTAAGGGCTAAGGCAGTGTTTAGGATAGCGTGTGGCAACAAATAACGACGAGGGCGCGATTCATTGAGGCGAGAAGCGAAGCGCTCGCCTTTTCGATGTGAAGCGACAATATATATATATATATATATTCAGGTATGAAATAAAGCTCTCTGCCTCTGCCCAAAGTGAAGCTGTGAAGGAATTGAAAAACAAAAAACAGAGCAAAAAAAGAACGAAGAAGAGAAAAAGAACTGAAGAACAAAAAGAAAGACANATATAAACTCAATTGGGAAAAAAAATGTTAATAAATAGATCAATTCAAAAATCAAAAACACAATAGATAGTGCTGCTCGATAAAAAACAAAGCAAAAACACAGTTAAATGCTACTCTCTGTTGGGTGCTTCTTGATCTAAAACAGAGCCAAAAAAGAGAAGAAAAAGGAAGGAAGAAAGGAGAAAGAAGAAAGAAGACCGAAGAAGAATAAAGAAAAAGAAAGAAAAAAATGGCAGAAGAAGAACAAAGGAGAAGAAGAGAAGCGGTACCTGGCTGGGTCGAGTTGGATGAGAAGAAAATGGCAAAAGAGATGAAGAAGAAAGAGAATCGTTGTGGCTGGGTCCACTTGGAGAAAGAAATCGTTGGTGTGCTCGGTTGCTTGAAGCTTGAGGAAGAAAGAAATCCCCGAAAGCCCTAATCACGGGTCTTTTTCTTTTAATCCATGCGCTTTTTCTTTTATATTTTAAAAAAGTGACGCTACAGTTGCCTCTTGCTACACTGTCGCATCTCGCTACACAGGTAGAGGCGAATGCTATTTGGAAAACACAACGCAATATAGGAAAAAGGCGATGGATGCTCGCATCGCTACACCTCACACTATTAGCACTGATGAGAGCCCTATTTACAACACTGGCCTAAGAAGAGGTAGAGGTAGGCTGAAGTAGAATTGGCGAGAGGTGATTAGGCAAGACATACACAGCTACAGCTAACCGAGGACATAACCCTTGATAGGAAGGTGGGGAGGTCGAGGATTAGGTAGTAGGTCAGGTAGTTTAGATTGTTCATGCCGGTAGTATTAGTACGTACTCTCGCATTCTATTGGTATTAAGTTTCTATGACTACCAGTCGTTTCTTGCATTTCAATCATCTTAATATCTTGTTATTTTTTATGCTACTTTTATATGGCTTCTCGGTGATTCCCCTTCTTGTTTTTCATTTCATTATTTCTTTTCATTAATATGATGCTTATGCTTTCCTGAGCTGAGTGTCTATTGAAAGCAGTCTCTCTATCTCCATGAGGTTGGGGTAAGGTCTGCGTACACATTACCCTCCCCAGACCCCACTATATAGGATTACATTGGGTATGTTATTGTTGTTGTAAAGTTCAGCATGACCAATTTCTACTACGTTACCATAGTTTTTTTTCTTGCATGGATGTATAAGGATCCATAAAGTTACCCTCACAATTTGTGTTAATCAATTAGTCAAAATAACATTTCCATCTTTCTGGGATCTACTAGTTGGCGTTTGAATATTGCCTTTACTACATTCAGTGTTATCAAAGGCGCGCTTAAGCCCTGAAGCGAGGCTCAACACATGTTGAGCGCTTCGCCTCGCTTAGCGGGCGCTTCAATATTGTCATCAAGGCTCTAAGGCATACTTTTCCTTGCCAATGAGCGTAATCTTCAAGAGGCGACACTAAACAATTGATATTTCACTTCATCGTAAATTTTCTTTAATTTCTTTATCCATATATTTAGTATTCATGCTTATATATGTTAATCTTGGACTACACATATATATTTGTAGTTTTTCTCCATTAGCGTCTTTTCTCATAAAAGCCCACGCTTTTTTTGCGCTTTGCGCTTAAGGCTCCAATAGACTTTAGAGCTTTTTTGTGCTTTTCGCCTTTGATAACATTGACTACATTGCACCTATCTTAAACCCTTTTACCCATGTTCTCTCTTAGTTGTGCCAACTTATACATTTCTTTCTCTTATCCGTGTGTCTCTTAACTTTTGATACAAGTCACCTAAAGCTTTACTTTGGACTTCATTGATCGCTTTCGTAGCTTGTCTCTTAGCGCTCTTATACTCTTCAATGGTCACCCCATTTTCAATTGTTGGTACATTCCTATACCAATCTCTTTTACACTACCCTAAATTAGACATAATAAATGCTATACTTTATTTTATGAAATAGGAGGTCTTTTTAGACGTTTTACAAATGCATACTACACTTCATTAACCATCTCGACTTTTGTGTTATGAGAATAGTAAATTTTTACTCAAATTGCACACCATAATAATAGAATACACAAAAAGATAGAAACAAACAGTTGAGTAATATCTACTGCAGATATAAATTACTCATCCAGAATAGTAAATATACGAATAACGAGAAGATGTCTATAGCCAATTTTTGTTCATGAAAGAGTGCACAAATTGATGAACAATTTCTACTTTCTCTAGTAAATATTGGGAATAAAAACAACCAACTTAAATGTCGCTACAAGTTGGATGCTATTTGACAAATACATTAAAATGAGATATGCCAGACTCTTTACTTGTTTTCTAGAAGTAGAGATGTTTTTTCCTACTCAAGTCAGAGCATACTTGTAGTCATTTGGATGACAGGAGTAGAGTTCTTTAACTTGCTTCTCAAGTTCTTCTTCAACCAATTAGCAACTTTAGTTTCTTGGTCTAATTTATATTTATTGGACTAAATAAATGATGTTTCCCCCGGGCAGAGTGATATTTTGTTATTAATTTTTTTTTCTTATAACCGAGAAACCCATCTGGAGCGAGGCCAACCACAACCTTATAAACTCCGGATGATGGGCCCGCCACTCTACCCTTCTCCACTTAAATATCAGAGTTAGTTCGCTTCGTACAGAGCTCGAACATGTGACCTAAGACACAAGTTCCTCAACCTTTGCCAATTGAGCTAACCCCTAGTATTTTGTAATTCTCCTTTGATAAACTCTTTCAATTTAACTATCGGCTACTTAGCTTCACATAAAAAATTTGTGGATATTTCTCATGGAAATTTTCAGTTCCGTAGTGGGATCAATTAAAGTGCATCATTAGTTTCAGCTTTCATCATCTAGGTGCTCACAACCTACTCTTTAAAACTGACTTTATTCAAGCTACAACAACCTCTCCTTTGAAAGCCAACTTAATCAATACTTAGTTTGGTATTTTCAACTTTTCCAAGTTGCACATCTTAGGTTTCTTAAATTGCATTCCAGCAATATATTCATATTATGCCATTTGAAATGTACAACTGAGCAAGTACAATCCACCTTCCAGAAAGAGAAAAAATCAAATCTACAAACACATAAATTAGTATAATCCTTGCACAAGATTTGTCCATCTATTCCTTGTTCTTTGTCTAATACTCCCTCCGTTTCAAATAGAATGAACCTTTTGCTATTTGAGGAGTCAAACAAGGTTTTTTCTTTTACCATGTTTTTTGCAAGTAGTATTTAAATATTTTGAATTTTTATCTATTGTGACTTATAGTACTTTTTATGTAGTTTCTAGATATGTAAATTTTATTTCAAAAAACTTAAAGAATCTATGCCCGAATTCAGGCAAAAAACTAGTTAATTTGACCCTTGTACTCCAAAAACGTTCAAAGAAATTGAAACAGAGGGAGTAGCTATTTCTAAGAAAGCTTAGAAAAGGCACTCCTGAAATATATTACCACTGATGATCAACCAGTAGTAACAAGAAAGATGCAAAGTTAGGTTTTCAACAGAATTATTAGTGTGGCGCTATACTTTAGGTGAAAGGTTAAAGGATCTATGCAAAGCACTATAATCCTAAATTCTATATACGCCTCCGCCTCCGTTTCAAGTTATGTGATGTAGCTTGATTGGACACAGAGTTTAAGAAAGAAAACAAGACTTTTGGAGCTTGCGGTCTTAAATTGGATGAGATTTTGTTGCTAAAAGCACACCGTTAGGGGTAAAATAGAAAATTTAAAATTACTTTCTTTTCAAATACAAAATGGTGTCATTCTTTTTGGAAAGGACTAATAAAGAGATGGTGCTACATAAAATATACTGGCTGGAGTAATTACTTAGGTTAAAGCATAAAGGTAAAACTGCCGTTCATGAAATTAAGTTAAATATGTCAGAAAGACTGAAAGAGTCATTCCTTCAGGGACATCCAATAAATTTGAAAAAGAAAAAGAGGATTGGATTTGCCCTTGCGCAAAGATGACACGCACAACTCAGTTTCAGAAAGAGTCTGAAACTAATACATTAGAAACCATAAACGGTTCAGAAATCTAGTCTTCCACCAAATAAGCCTACTAACTTTCATTATGTAAAAAGTCTAACACACAAAAAATGAGCAGTAATATAGAAGTTCACTATAAATCTGAATACAAATTAAATGCATGAAGATTGATTTTGTGGAAAAAAAAAAGACAAGTAATAATGCCATGAGGAAGAGAAGCACAAGAAAAGCCTGCTTGAAAAAATGAATGTCAAGTCAATTGATTTCATAAACAGCTAAAACCTGCTGCTTAAACTAAGAAATACATCGAACATATAACAGGTAATGCATGATTGCTATGTAATACATGACCGGTCCAGAGGAAAACATAGAACAACTACTACTATAAGCCACAGTTGCAAAAAAGTTGGGATCCATACACAAATTTGGAAAATAAATGTTCAGAGAGACAAGTGTCCTTACCTTTGCTAATTCTCTTACTCCTTCAGCATATTGTTCTTTCTGTAGCAATGCAAGACCTAGCATGTAGTGCGCCTGTCAAATCATTATTATCTTTAGAGAGCTCAGAATTTCTAGGTCCACAAGTTTAGAAAGGCTAAAAGTTTCAGAGAATTAACAAGAGATTTGAAACAATTTAAACATGATTCCATTTAGGGTTCTATCGACACTCTAACAAGCTAAATTTAATTTCAAAAATTTTGAACTTACAGGTGCCTCAATTTGTACACTTAATTTACTAATGAACAATTCTCAGAAATAACAAGAATTAATAATGATAATAATAATAGTTCCAGTGAATATTTTCCCAGTATTGTTTTTGACAAATGGCAAGAAATGCTCATTACAAGCAGCTTATGCTCAGGCTGAGACGTCCTGCAAAAAACCTCTTATCCCTTTCCTTTCCTATTTCAGTAAATTTGCGGCATGATTCAAGCTAGTTATTGTAATCATCACAGATTAGAAAAAATGGGAAAAGGAAATATGAACGTTGATGGAGAGATTAGATGAAATCATGAAAACACCAATGTGAATTCATAAATAGTACAAGTAGTTAGACCTTAACAGAAGTGTGATCGAGCAGAATAGCCTCCCTACAATCTTCCTCTACTCTGGTCCACTCACTATAAACCAAAAATGACGATGACAAATGAACATTCATAAGAAATCACAAAAAAATCCAAAAGAATATAATGTTGTGAGCACGTACTCGCGTTTCCGATAGCACAAAGCGCGATTGGTCCAATATATGGGAACATTAGGGCACAAAGTAATAGCCTATAAAATCCATTCAGAAATTTAGAAAATAAATGGATGAAAAATAAGATTTAAAAGCCAAAAAAGAATAGAGCTCTCTCACCTCGGTGTAGGCATCGATGGCAGCGGCAAATCGATTTTTCTGGAAGTAATTATTGCCATCTTGTTTCAGTTGTTCCGCTTGTTTGGCCGCCGCAGAGGGAGCCACTATTGGTGACATTTCTCCACTCGAAACCCTATCTTTCTTTTCAAGGACAAAATTCTCTGAAGATATGGACTACTTTTTGTTAATGTAATCACGAATGGATTATAGATATGACTTTGAAATTGAAATGAGAAGAAGGAAGCATTGTTTTTGGGAGGGAAAGTGAACAAGGGGTATTTTTGGTGAAAACGACATGAGAATCCGTTCCCTCGCGAAGTTTCAGGAACATTCCATAATTAATTTGACTATTCGGGAGCATTGATAATATGACCTATCGTAGTGCCGTCATTTGATAGTTCTAGCCTATTCTGCCGGTTAATCCAATTTTGAAACTGCCCACGTTTAGGGAAAGTCGAAACCGAAAATTCAAGATATTTGGTATTTGGTATTCGGTATTCGGTATTAGGTATTAGTTTTAGATACATGCCATATTCGGTATTTAAAATAGCAAAATATCGATACAGTATCAAAATACATATTAAGTTACATAATATTCATATTATTGATTATAACATAAATATTAAAGTTCTAAATTTTACTTACTGTTATTTTTAGAGTTCTCTTTAAACTTTATCACCTTTTTTACCTTTCCCTTTTTACTTTAGTTGCTTACGTACGTTTCAACCTTTTTCCGTCTAGGTTAAGCATTTTTGGTTTTTTCCCACTATATTATAATGATTTCATTTTCGTATTTGTGAATAAACTACGTAAGAATATTACAATCTATGGCTTTATGCATTATTGAATATTCGAGCCGAACAAACCGAAGATATCAAACCTAATAAACTGAAACTAAAAGGAGAAACGAACCACACCGAATTAAATTAGGTATGGTATTGGTATAAAGAAATAAATACTGAAATTACCAAATCGAAATATCTAAATATCGTAATGTACTGACCGACAAACACCCCTACTCATGTTGGTTGCTTAACTATTTTCTTAATTAGTGAAGTTGTTCGCGCGACAATATTTATCAGTACTTTAAGCCATGTATATTGCTTAGATCATCTAACAAATAAAAATATTAAATCCCAAGAAAAGCATGTTTGACCAAGTTTATGGGAGGCCAAAAGCATTTTTTGTCAAAAAAAAAAATAATTTTTGAAATTTTATGGTGTTTGATCAAGAGAAAGAAGTAAAATCAGTTTTTCTACTTTAAGCAATAAACTACAAATTCTAGCTTCTTCCAAGAAACAGTAGCATAAAGTTAAATTTTTTTAAGACAAAAAGATCCTTACCAAAAATTTATATTTCCAGATTATTCCTCGTTAATTTAGCTTTTGTCTTTTACTTTTTGTTTCTAGCATCCAATATTGAATTTTCTTCTTTTTCATCATTCCTATTCTTCTTTTGTTCTTCTTTGAGATAGTTTCTCTATTAGCAATAGATCTCTTCTTTCATATAAGATTAGTCATGGAGTAAATTTTGATTTATACTGAATGATGTATAGGTGACTAGCTTAGTAACTTTATTCAATCTAAAAGGTTGGCTTAGTGCCTTATCTGCCTTTAAGTGAAGGGGCGCATCCACCGAAGATGGCAGCGGGAAAGATGGGAGCACGAACGAGGTAGCTTATGCTTTTTTTCATCCTCACTATTGGCTAATAGAGATTGTCTCTTTATTAACAAAAATATAAAAGTGACTAAAAATGCAAACTTTGTCCGGAAAAACGAGAGTTTTTAGCCAAAATTATCGCTTATCTTTAAGGGTAGGTTCAACTTTGTCCTTTAAATATGACTCTTAGCACCATTTGTCCTCTGAGTTTGCAAAACATAAGCACTTTTAGTCTAAGTAACAGAAAATACTCACTTCTGTTAGAAAACTAACGGACATACCCGCCTCTTTCACCCTCAAAATCAGTCCATTTTCTTTTTTCCACCAGAAAACACGACTCATTCACCTCATAATATCGATCCGGTATTCACATTGTCTCTTGTTCATGACTAATTTCATGTTCGCACTGATGTTTTCAAAAAATATTCGATTGCTTGTTCATTAAATAAATTAACATGTTGTTCATCATCACTATATACTCTATAAATCACTGTTGCATTTAGGTGTGAAGAACTACATGGACTGTTAGTTTGCTGAACCGTTCGTGTGTGTATATATATATTAGATGGTGATTACTTAAATACCAGTAAAAGTTTCAGATTGAAACGGTTTCATTTTCTTATGTGCAAAACTCTTCTTGACAGAATTTAAGAGTCCACCAAACTCTATAGAGAATCAGGTTCTCTATTAGGTTCAACAGAACACACGCACACTGCAGTAAATAAATGATAAGAGGAATTTTATGTGGAAAATTTCCAGCTCAACGGGATTAAAAACCACGACCTACCCTTGTAGGATTGCAACTTCACTACTGAGCAACTTTTAGATTACAGCCTATGCAACATACGAATTAACCTCTTAATCGCTCACTAACTTGTAATACTCTAATACAAGCCACTTTGTAATAACTCTATTACAAAGACTTTACAACTCGACTAACTCTAGCCAAGACTCAAACACAAGGGTTTAAGATTTACAAAGGGTTTCCTACAGAATACTTCTAAACAAGCTAAGTAGGAATTACACTTGAAGAACTATTACAAAGTTACAACTCAACTAAGGACAAACAATAACTTGATGTGGGAACTGGTCCGTAGTTATTTTGTTCTTTGTTCTTGATGCACTTGAGAATTGCTTGCTGGCTGATCAATCACGTGAGAGAGCTGAGTGAATTCTCTAAGTGTTCAAGTGATTCTTGTTTTACCTTCCTTGATGTTAATAATACATGTGTGACATCACTTACACTGATGTAAGCAAGGTAGGTAAAAAGCCTTCCTCAAAAAGTTGACTGTTGCACTGTTCCTGTACTGTAGCGTGTGCAGGCAGCAACTTTTTCAACTGGAGAGTTGACTTTGTACAGTTACCTCGGGAGCTGGTAGCGACCCGTTCCCTCAGTTGTTCCTTCGACTCTGAAGAGTTGAACCATATCCCAAACTGACCTTTCGATCTTAAGGTTTTGAGAATATGTAACACGTTCCCTATCTGGTTCTTGATAGTAAGTTTGTTAGATCATCAAAATATAAAACAAGGTACTTGTAACCTATCCATTTTCCCTTTTTTGATTATGACAAACTCATAATTGAAAATCCCATAAAGAGCCACACAGAACCAGACAGTGAACCAGAAAGACCTTAAGTTTCCCCCTGAATCCCCGAATCTGCATTCCCCCTTAATCAGTGCACATCATAGTACAATCATAAAACAATTATGCAATTATTCTTCCCCCTTGGATCTGTCTGTGTGGCATAGTCACTGTAGGTACCATGCAAGCTCTTTCTCGCGCCATAACCAAGAAATGTTGGAGGTAGGGGTCGATCAAAGTATGACAATGTCTAAAGAACTCTTTCCCCAGTATGATGTCAAAGATATCCATAGCGGTTACGGCAAAGTTTGTCATACCTTTCCAAGCTCCCAATTTGACACCAACTCCATTTGCTACCCCACGAGCATTTTGTACCTCGGCATTCACGGTCTTGACGCGAGAGTTGGTTGGAGCAAGCTTTAATTCTAGTCTCTTTGCGGCAGCCTCAGTCACGAAATTATGAGTTGCTCCAGTATCCACCATCGCACGAGCGGGTGTTGTCACACCTCCTTTTTTACACACCTACCCCGAAGGATAAATGTATAAGGGAGTTTTTCCATTTAAAGTGACATTATTCGAAATGGGATTGTTTATTTATTTTTAGAGTCGCCACTTGGGATAGGATTGGCTTTTGGTGTCCCAAGTCACCGGTTTAATTTAAATCCCAAATCGAGGAAAAATTCGACTTCCTGATTGGAGTCTGCGAATCAGAGATTCTGTGTAAGGAATTCTGTTGACCCGAGGGAAGGTGTTAGGCACCCCCAGATCCCGTGGTTCTAGCACGGTCGCTTAAATTATCATAAATGGCTAAAATCTGGTTTTTATACATATTTAAACCTATAGTGCAATTTTAAGATTATTTACCGCTTTTAGTTTATTTTGTTTTTTACGAAAGTGAACGCCGTTTAAGAGCGTGTTCTGGGATCACGTCACATGAAATGCACCCGGATCCTAAACACCTCTTATTCAACGTTTTGGGATTTGGATTTGGGTTGCATGAA